GGAGAGATGGAAGGGAGCAAGAACAGAAGCAGGGAGAGGTAGTGAAGATGATGAGAAGTGGACAGATTTAGGACATATTTTGGATATATCTGCTAGGTCTTACTAGAGAGTTGGATGTTGAATATGAAGGGAAAAAGGAAGTCAGATGACTTGTGGGGATTGAGCCTGAGTAACTGGTGAGTGGTCAAGCCAGTAATTAAGATGGACTTGTAACTAAATGGTAGCAGAGGGTAGAGTTTTGTTTTGGATTTGTCAAATTAGAGATTGTATTAAGTGTCCAAAAAGAAACATGAAGTGTAGTTCAGTCTGCCACTCCAGGGAGTGGTTAGGGCTAGATATAATGTGGAAGTCATCAACGTGTACATGATGACATGTAAAGCCACGGGACTAGCTCCTCTCACCTATGGAGAGTTGTACATAGAGATTGAGGACTGAGATGTAAGATGCTTCCAACATTTAGAAATTGGGAAGTGGAGGCTGGGTCAGCAAAGAAGGCTAAGAAAGCAGCTGTATTAGGATTTTCCAGAGAAACAGAACCAATGGTGTGTGTGTGTGTGTGTGTGTGGAATTGGCTCATGAACCCGTGGAGGCTGGCAAGTCCAAATGTGTAGTGTGAACTATAAGGCTTGAGACCAAGGAGAGCCAGTGATACTGATGAAGTCCAAAGACAGTCCAAAGACAATGGCCCAGTCAAGGTGACATACGAAATTAACCATCACAACAGTACAGTGAGGTAGGAAACTTGGCTTCTTGAATTCCCTTAACACTTTCTCATGTATATGCACATGAGCTGAACAAAAGCAGCAAAGAAAAACTGCACATTTCAGTCCACCTTTTAGCTAGAAGCACAGGCACCCTGGGGGGGACCTTAGAGGCTAGCTAGGCCAACTTTCCACGCAATGTAGATTTAAAAAAAATTTTTTTTTTTTTTCTATATTGATTTGAGAGAGAAAGAAAGGGAGAGGGAGAAAGAGATGGAAACACTGATGAGAGAGAACATGGATTGGCCACCTCCTGCAGCCCCCCCCCCCCCCCCCCCCCCCCCCGGGATGGGGTCCATCAACCTGTGCATGTGCCCTGACCGGGAATCGAACCAGTGACCTCCTGGTGCATGGGTCAATGCTCAAACAATGTAGATTTTTATTTATTTATTTATTTTTATCCTTACCCGAGGACATTTTTCCTTTTTTTGTTCAGGTAGAGTGGGAGGGAGAGAGAGAGAGAAACATTGACGTGAAAGGGACACATCGAGTGGCTGCCACCCGCACCACCAACCAGGGCCAGGGACAAACTGCAACCGAGGTACGTGCCCTTAGTGGGAACCGAACCCGGGTCTCTCTGGACCGCAGACCGACGCTCTAACCGCTGAGCCAGGGCCAATGTAGATTTTTAAATCTCTGCTTAAACACTTCCAGGGCTAGGAGGCTCACTACTTGGTAAGATAAAAAGTCATGTTAATGTGACTTCATTTAAAAAAGTTATCTTTATACTGAGCAAACATCTTCCTATGAACCTATTTCCCAGCTCCCCTGCGAGTGGCGAGACTGCTGCCTCTCCTCCAGCTCGCGCGGAGGGCTGCGTGGTTCTGGAGCACTGCAGCGTTTGGGGAGAGCTTTATCAGTCTTGGAACGGAAGGCTTTCTCTCCCCAGGCACAGCCAAGCCACCAGGTAGACCAGTCAGAACGCATTCAAGTGCCGTTGATTTGAGGCCACTCATCTCTGGCGCCCCAGCCGGCGCTCAGTCTGCCCGGCTGCTTCACGACACCGAACCTGCCCTTAGAAGCCTCCGCGGCACTGCAACGTGGCTCATGCCAGAGCTGGCAGCCCCGCCTGTGTATGTTTGGACTTTGCTGTGGACATGCTGCTTTCTTTTTGATCCTCACCTGAGGACATTTTTGTATTTATCTTCAGATAGAGCAGGAGGGAGAGGAAGGAAGAGAGAGAGAGCGAGCAACATCCATGTGAGAGAGACACATTGAGTGGTGGCCACCCGCACGACCCCATCTGGGGCCGGGGACAAACTGCCACCGAGGTACGTGCCCTTAGCAGGAACCGAACCCGGGACTCTCTGGTCTGTGGGCGGACGCTCTAACAGCTGAGCCAAACTGGCCAGGGCTGGATATGCTTCTTTTCTTTATTTCTTGGCCTTCCTTTAGGTTAGTAGATGTTAAGAGATATGAAGAGAGAGGGTGTGGTCCAATTCCAAATATGTATGTGAACGTTCTGGCTAGAGATCCTTTAGTTGGGAGGACCACACATTGGGGGCAGTTTTGTCTCCTAGGGACACAGTCCCTCTTTATAACCAGTAAACTCAGCTTTGTCCTAATACTACATTTTCATGAAAATGTGATTAAGTTGCAACCTAGATGTAGATGAACAGCACTGTTTCCTTGTAAATGAATCCCTTGAATATAAATGACATCTCTTAGGCTGCATGGACTAGTGTTTCCAAATGGGCAGGGACAAAGCTCTCAGAACTCTGAGTAGACTCCACTCTAAGAATCTTTTTTTTTTTTTTTTTAATTTATTTATTTATTTTTGTTACAGATGTTTCTCTTTTTTCCCCCACTGATTCCCCCCTCCCCCTCCCTTCCTGCCCTGTCCCCAACTTTGTTGTCCATGTCCATCGTTCATGCATATAAGTTCTGTGGTTTATCTCTCCCCCACCATCTCCTCTTCTGGGGATTGTCATTCTGTACCCCACTTCCACATCCCTGGGACTACCCCATTCCTCAGACTGTTATGTTCATTATATTCCACAAATAAGTGAGATCATATGATACTTGTCTTTCTCTGTTTGGCTTGTTTCGCTTAGGATGATACTTTCCAGGTCCCCCCATGTAGTCTCAAAGGATAAGAGATCTTTCTTTCTTACAGCTGCATAGTACTCCATTGTGTTTATGTACCACCACTTTTTTATCCATTCGTCTACTGATGGACACTTGGGCTGTTTCCAGATCTTAGCAATTGTAAATAGTGCTGCTACGAACATGGGGGTACATATATTCTTTCTGATTGGTGTTTCAAGCTTCTTAGGGTAAGAATCTTTGATTGCAAATTGACCACAAGCCTAGAAGAGAATTTGATCCACTCTCTTTCAAGTCTTGCTTTCTCCTTTATTTTCTTTTTAAATATGATTTTATTGACTTTTGAGAGAGAGAGAGAGAGAGAGAGAGAGAGAAACATGCCTCCTGCATGCCTCTTACTGCAGATCGAGCCAGAAACCTGGGCATGTTCCCTGACCGGGAATTGAACCAGGACCTCCCAATCCACGGGAGGATGCTCAGTCCAGTGAGCCACACCGGTTGGGCTTGCTTTCTAATTTAATAAGTGAAAGCACGTGGTAGAGAAAGTTCTGGAGGAGGCTAGCTCTGACATCCAGAACAGGCAGGGTAACCTCCTATGTTTTTAGCCTGCTGTTTGTAAATGTCAGGACTTAACGCTACAGACTGAATACCTCCCCCGTCCCAAATTCATGTTGAAACCTAATCCCTAGTGTGATGGTATTTGGAGGTGGGGCCTTGGGGAGGTTGTTAGGCAGAGGCCTCCTGAATGGGAGCAGTGCCCTTATAAAAGAGACCTCAGAGAGCTCCCTCCCCCGTTCTGCCACGTGAGAAGATGGCCATCGGCCTCTGAACCAGGAAGCAGGGTCTCATGGGACGATGAATCTGCTGGCACATTGGTCTTGGACTTCCAGCCTCCAGAACCGTGAGAAATAAATCTATTATTAATGAGTCACCCAGTCTTTGGTATTTTGTTGTAATAGCCCAAACAAACAGAGACACATGTTTTGTTCTGGTTTGTTTCTTTGGAAAATTCAGTGACCATGACTTTTTGGATGTGTTTTTAATCCTGAAGAGAACTTGTTACACAGATATGTACAAATGATATTTTTGGTCACCGGGTTCTATTAAGAAATTGAGGACGCCACTGAGCCGAGGTTCTTGGCAACATTAAGCACTCTGCGAATGTCTGTTTTTCTTCCCTACAATGTGAGGTTCTTCCTTCAGCTGTTGTTCCCCAAACCCCTCATCCACACACGGAGTAACAAACTTCGTGCATCTAAGAATACATTTTCTTCCAGTTTCTCTTAACATAAATATTTCTAAGGACACTTTGCCTTCCGGGGTATTTGTAATGATATCATTTGTAACTACGTTTTGTTCATTCAATTGCAAGCTTCTTGAGAAAAGTATAATAGCTCAAACATCTTTGAGGCTCATATGTCTTAGATATCATCCTTCACTTAATGGATTATAAATATTTAATGAAGGGTTAGAAATAATAAATGCACTATCAATAAATACCTATATATTGGCACATTGTTTGGAAGTGAATTGCTGTTGTTGTTTTTTAAAGGAGACTCCGTTTCAGTGTCTCCTAGGGAATCATCCAGCGGCAGCAAGGTGGTCGGGTGCTGCAACCCACGCAGGGCAGCCTCCTGTGTGCAGAGCGAGACAGAGAACCACCCTGGAGGGGTAAGCACAGAGCAACTGATACAGCTACCAGAAAGGACCACATACACAGCATATACATATTTTTGAAAATTTGAAAAGAATGTCATTACAATTCCCCCTATTCAGACATAACAACTACTGAAATTTTCGTGTGTTTAATTTGGTCTCTCATTAGTGGAACTATCACATCAAACAACTTTTATTGTAAGTCACTTTGTATAATTGTGCTACTTCCAGCTCTTAGCTCAATAATTATCTATTAATAGAAATAAAGATGCTAATGGGATTTCTTTGGTTTATTTCATTTACCCTCTGCATGCAGGGGTGAGTAGCTCACTGGCGTTCCTGTTCAGATCTGGAAGGTGTGTGCAGAAGCCAAAGAGTGGCACTTAGAAGGAGCGATTTCCGACTCCACCCTATTGAACTTCAGGGTTTAAAGATGTGTCTACAAGTGCGAACAATGACTTCAGCAATTATTTGAATTTTGAGGGGTATTTTTTGTTTTTTTGTTTGTGCCTTCTTGCTTTAGTGATCAGGCAACGTTGTTCTGAGACCTGAATTACCTGGGTAATTATGTCCTTCACTTTTCTACTTGTGTGGCTTTACTAACAAGCTGAAAATATTCCCAAGGTGTCAATCCTCTGGGCCCTTGGAGATGCTGCTTTTCTGTATAAAATATAGGTATGCCTCAGATCCTCCGGCCAAAGCTCCCTTATCCTCTGGGGCAGTCTAAACTGATGTGGAGATCAAGAGAAAGGGCTTTGGGCCTCAGGATTTGCATAGAAGATGCTATAAACTGGTTTACTCAAAACCCATTCTGTTTCCTTTCTAGCTTGACTTCCCGTCCACAGAGGCTAGAGAATTATTCCTTCCTCCCCCTGCCTCGCAGCGAGGGTTCTGCGTGCGACTTTGCTTCAGCTTGTCCAATGCGTCTGTGTGAGACCAGGAGTGTGTGAGTCACTAAGGCAGTGGCTGGGCAGGGGAGTGGGGTGGGAAACAGTTCTGTGGGAACACTTGGTCTAGAAGAGGTCAGCATACTTCAGCTCACCAGTGACTGTCTTTGTACATAAAGTTTTGTTGGAATACAGCTGTGTTCATTCATATAGTGTCTGTAGTGTTTTCGTGCCTCAACGGCCTACTTGAGTTCATGGCCCACAAGGTCTGATGTATTCACTATCTGGTCCTTTAACAGAAATTTGCTAACTCTGAATGACTTGTGAAATTCCATCTGTCCAGAAGATTCTAATATCCTTGAGTACTGTTTTTAGAGATTCATGTAGAGATCCACTGTTTATACTCCCAAAAGCATTAGGGAATTCATTCCTTCAGCAAACTTTCATTGAATCTGTTACGTACCAGGCTCTCTCCTAGGTGCTGGGGACATAAATAAATTAGAAAGACAAGTTTTCTAATCATGGAAAGCATGTTCTAGTAAGAAAAAACAGGTAATAAACCAGTACACAAGTACGTGAGCAAGACCATTTCATATAGCAATGAATGTTTCCATGGAAACAAAATAGGTTCTATGATGAAGACTGACCCAAGGGGAGGGAGTCTGTGTACTCAGTAAGGATGGGTATTCAGGAGTGATGATCAGCTCTTCGTTTTCCTTTATGCTGAATGGGTTTGACCATAAAGGTACAAGTTAGAAACTCTGTGTAACTGTGCCTGGGCCAGTGACTAATAGAGAGTGGACAGGAAAAAAAGTAGAAACATAAGCCAGAGAATGTAGTCACAGGTTAGCAATAATTTAAGGTCCTCAATCTGGGGAAAGTAAATCAAATGACGGAGCTGCGAAACTAAATCCTAGCTCTAGGTTTTAGACTTCTTTCTATATCAGAACACAAAAACAAGTTCAAAAACAAAATGTTTTGTCCCCACATAGAACATTGTGATATGGTTTTTTATTCGGGAGGCATACAGACTTTTGTCTATTTTTATATGTTTTATATCTTTTTGTCAAGTGGCTGTGGTAGAGGTGGAAACATATTCTGATTAGGTTGGAAAACTCTTAAACAAAATAAAAGGTGATCCTAAATTGACAAGAGTATTATGATAACCTTGTTCTCAGGAGAACAAAGGTTGCATACCATAAGGTATTTTATTTATTTTCCTTTTCTCTCATTCTTTAAACAATAAAGTATGCATTTCTCCACTCTGTGTTAGCAGATCAGTAACACAAAATAGACCAGCATAATTAAACTCATCTATCCCAGCCTAAATTTCTGGTCAGCAAACTTTTTAAAGCAGAAATGAAATACTCTCAGTCTGCTTTTCTGAATGTCAGCACTAATATAATTTCTTTTCAGGAAGGGGAACACACTTTCTTGTTTATAATCTCCTTGGATCTCAAATCATTTCCAATGCTGGACTGTACAGCCTTGCCTGGAACCCCGAAGCATCATGGGAGACTGGTGTCAAGGTGTGGACTAGAAGAGTCTGATCCTTTGCTTGTTTTGCAACAATACGCCTCGTGTTGTAAAAATGGCACAGTTCTTACTGTCCCTGGTTGAGCATAGCTAAATCCCGACCGTGGGAGCATGTTTGTATTGCAGTAATCCTAATTTGCCCATAAATAAATTATTCTCCCCTGAAGCCCATAATAAATATAGTTTTAATTGCATGCCAACTGTTAGACCCTAAAATTAGACAGCTTGGTCCTCTGTGCCAGTGGGAGGAGGTGTTCTGGAATATTTGGCTCCAGAGGCACTTTGGGAGAGAGAAGCAACAGCGATATGTATGATGAGTGTCTGAAAAATTTCAGTTGTAGAAGCCGTTTCTGGGTCAGACAGAAACCATGGTCAGATATTTTCCAACCAGTTCAAGCTTGGTGCTCTAGCCATGCCTTTTATCATCTCTTCTTTTGAATCTCCAGGGTCCGTTTTCACAGAGGAAGAGGACAAGCTGAGTCAGGGACTGCCCTCCTGCCCGTTCCAGCGTTCTGTCTTCCTTAATTAGCAGAAACAGTCCCCACTTAGAAAAGATGTTCGTGCCCTTGTGACGAAGAGCCTTCAAATAGTCACGCTTTAAAGGAAAATGTAGGACAATCTTACAAATTAACTTGAGCACAAGGGAATTCAGGCCATGTGTGAAATTAGGTTGGCCCCAATAGAAGTGAGGTTAGGAGCAACTGGGAGATTTTGAGCCCCCCGCCCCCCTAGCTCCTTTCCCAACCCACTCCCCACAGAACAGCTCGCTCCCCGCTCCAGCTGAGTGGCTCCAGGCAAGCACTTAACATTAGCAGCCTGTTTCCTCATTCCTACCTCACTGAATGGTTGCAAGGATGAAATCAGATGATGTTTGTCAAGAGCCCACACACCAAGTGTCTTTTATTCCTCAATTCACTTTTTTTTTTTATTCCTCCCCAAGGACATTTCTCCACTTTTTGTTCAGATAGAGTGGGAGGGAGAGAGAGAGAGAGAAACTGACGTGAAAGGGACACATCCAGTGGCTGCCTCCTGCACAACCCAACCAGGGCTGGGGACAAACTGTAACTGAGGTATGTGCTCTTAGCAGGAAGCGAACCCGGGTTTCTCTGGACCGCAGGCTGATGCCCCAACCGCTGAGCCATACTGGCCAGGGCTCAATTCACATTTTTAACAGAGAAGAGCAAACCCTTTAAAACAATTATTCAAGCAATGTTGGAAGATCCCCATGTTCTTTCAAAAAGCTGATATCATTCTTTCCTTTTTAACTGTTAAAATGTAATATAGATATATTCAGAATGTCAACAATATACTTGCAACTCTTTATTTTGCAGTTGTAGAGTGGTGTTTAGTTAAGAGAACAGTAATTTTGAATCCCGCTTTGGGAGGCGTGCAGGTTTTTATTTCTTTCGTTGGTCTCTGGTCAGCTTTGCCATGCCCTCACATTTCCTCTCTCTTCAGCAAACCTGCTCTTCCACATTTCTGTGTGTGCTGAAGAAATTTTCAAGAAGTTGACGAAAGCATTTGGGTGCTTTCTTCTTGTGCTTCTTGGCTTCTTAGAATTTCCTTTGCCCGTGTTTCATTGTTTCTCCAAAGGTTAGAAAATTGTGTTGCCGATGCTTGTGCGTCTACTACGTAAGGAATAAATAAGCAAGAAAACCAAAGAAACAAATGCTTGAAGCAAATTCCAGCTCTCAATCAATCAAGCAATTCAGTATTTCCCAGTGATTTCTTTTTTTTTTTTAATCCCACGCCCTGAGGATATTTTTCTATTTATCATCAGATAGAGTGGTAGAGAGGGAGAGGGAGAGAGAGAGAAAGAAAGAGAGAAACATTGATGTGATAGAGCCACATCAACTGGTTGTCTCCCACAAGACCCAACCAGGGCTGGAGACAAACCACAACCAAGGTACATGCCCTTGGCCAGAATCGAACCCGAGACTCATTGGTCCATGGGCTGCCGCTCTAACAGCTGAGCCAAACCGGCCAGGGTTCCAAGTGATTTCTTTTAAAAGATCCCACTTGCTCAGGACTTTGCTCCTGGGAGGGTGGATAAAGGTTGTGTTTTCTGCTACCCAAGACCACCATAAGCTCAAGTCTTTGAGAGCCCCCAGCACCGCAGCTTACTCTCCTAGTGGTTTAACTGTGAAATGCCCTTCTCTCTTTTTCCATTTACAGTTGTGAATAGATAACAAATACATGTGGATGTTCCATTCTTTTGTAGATCTATGGTGTAATATAGACCAGTGCATCTCACATTTTTTCTTTGCTTTCACAACACTTTCAGGAGGAACTGCACCAGAGAAATTGGTGAAAAGGGCCCCTTCATTCCCAGTCCCTCCACCACCAGTCCCTGCGACCACTTTCATTTGTTTACTCATACACCTTTGCTCATATGCCCTTCCGAGATATTTTAAGCATATACAAGTATGAATGTGATTACTCCTTATGTTTATACAGCAAGTACCATACCAACTTACCTTTTCCACTGAATGATGTCTTGGCCGTTACTACAAACCAGTACACAAAACTTGCCATATTTCCAAATGATGGCTGTCTCCCCCTCCTTGCATATACGCGTGTGCATGTGAAGCATTCATGAAAAAATTTTTTTGGCACACAGTGCCTAGATCTTTCTCTCTCTCTCTCTCTCTCTTTTCTTTTTATCCTCACCAGAGGATATTTTTCCATTTTTTGTACAGAAAGAGTGGGAGGGAGGGAGAGGAAGGGAGAGAGAGAGAGAGAAACATCGACGTGAAGGGACACATCAAGTGGCTGCCACCCGCATGACCAACCAGGGCCGGGGACAAACTGCAACCAAAGTACGTGCCCTTAGCGGGAACCGAACCCGGGTCTCTCCGGACCGTAGGCCGACGCTCTAACCACTGAGCCAAACTGGCCAGGGCTCTCTCTTTTTTCTTTAAATCCTCACCTGAGGATATTTTTCTATTTATCTTCAGATAGAGAGGGAGGGAGGATGAGAGAGTGAGAGTGAGAGAAACATCGATGTGAGAGGGACACATCGACTGGTTGCCTCCCACGTAACCCAGCCAGGTCCGGGGACAAACCACAACTGAGGTATGTGCCCTTGGCTGGAATCAAACCTATGACTCATCGGTCCGTGGGCCGACGCTCTAACCACTGAGCCAAACTGGCCAGGGCATCTCTCTCTTTTAATAAATAAAGAAATAGACATAGAAGTTCATGGTGTCTATTTAGTGAGGATTCTGTCATAGTCTCAACTTCTTTTCTGCTGTTTCCCTCCTGACTCGGGTCTGAGGCGTGTGCCAGGATGGTATTGTTGTCAGGAGGGTGCCACAGTGGAAGTGTCTGTTTCAGGTCCTGTGCACAACCCTGGCTTAGAGCTGGGTTTCTCCTCGTTGCCATATTGAAAGGACTCTGTGTGCATCTGAGGGGTTTTTGAACGGATAGCCTATGGTATCTTTCTTAGTACTCTTGCTTATTTACATAAGCACCAGGGTAGTGAAGACCTTTTTGGGGTGGGGGTGGGGGATACATGGAAAGAAGTGGGAGATAGAGTGATGTGATGCCAGCAATGATTAAATAAAATAAACACCGTTCTTGTTCTTTGATCTTATTATGAATGAGTATATGAAGAAAAATTTAGTATTGATTAGAGATTTGTTTTCCTTTGGGTGTGATTGGTAATGATCATGCTTCTAGATCTAGCACAGAGTGAAGAACTATTATGAATTGAAGAGTCATGAGTCTTAAGAGAGTTAAACATGTTTATTGCCTTAGGTCTGTCTGATCAACCACCTTTGCCCACAGCACCCTGACTTTCTTTGGTAGATTCCTTTTCCACTTCTGTATGTGGTCTTGGGAGGAAGCCCAAGGGCCCAAGTGGGGCCTCTTTTGGCCTTGAATAGCCTGAGAGAAGGGAGGTGCCTTGGGCTTGGCCACTGGGTCTTGTCCCCAGCCTCTGGAGAGTGGTGTGGTAGGGTTGAAGGTGGAGGGTCAGGCCAGCAGTGTGGTGCCAGGCTACCCAGGTGAGCCTTGCTGTGTGACAGACCTTTGCTGCAAGCAGTATCTCCCCTAGACCGGGGCAAGAGGGCCACCTCTTTGAGTCTGCTGCCTTCACCTCTGCCCGGCCAGAGCCTATATCCTCCCTTCTAGACCACAATCCAAGGAGACTGCTTTTGAAAGCTGTTTCCCTGCTCTCCTGATGGCTTTTTGAGCTTATGGGCAATTGACCTGTTCGATCCTTGAAACTGCTGACCCCTGAGCACTCCTTGTCTGTACTCAACACAGTCTGCTACCCAAGACCACCACAAGCCCACGGTGGAGGGAATACTTATTCTTGTCTGACTTCCATCCTTTCCTTCTTCTGGGGACATCACTTCAGTTTTTCTTTGGAGTAGCAGGGGGAGGGTCAAGCATGGTCTATCAGCTTATTTCATCTCTCAAGTCACCTGATTTGCTTAAGCAGAGCAAGCCACTCAAGTCAGTCCACGACGAGTCAGTCCTGGGACGTAAGTGGAGCTATTAAAAAATACAGACGTTCTCTCTTAGCCTAACTGGATGAAGCCTGGGTTCTTTGGGAGTTCAACATGAGCGCGTGCTAAAAATGAAGCCAACACAGAGAAAATTAGATCAATAGTTAGCAAGAAAGAGATTGACTGATTTCTGGGATTATTTGATCTGAATTTTGTATCCAGCCAGACTCACCCTTGAAATTTTCATCTCCCTGAGATAATTCTCCTTTGCTTAAGCCTATTGGTCTTGGGCTGTTTCTCAGTTGGAATTCACAGAGTTTCAACAGATTCATCCACCTAAGTAGTAGAATTTCCAATATTGTATGATTAAACCTCTGCTCTAAGCCCACACCTGCTTAAAAAGAAGTATTTTTTATTCAAAAACAACAAGTACTGTAGTTCCTCCTTGCCTTTCTCCCGTCCTCCTGGAGAGTGTAGGAGAGTGAGCCTTGGCTTTGAACTTGTCCTCAGAACAGCAATTGGTGCATAGAACGAACAGAATGTATTTCCTCAGAGCTTTGCAAAATGTAATGGTAGGCCAGTGTGATGTTTGTGCCAAAGACCTTCGTTCTTGGGGAAACTTGATGCTGAGTCTTTCCTGAAATTGCTAAGCATTCCTGACCCTCTGCAGACCGGGAAGGTCTGGGCACATTTCGCGAGCTCATAGGTTGTTTGAGATACAGCAACAAGAAGGCATTATCAGAGAAAGGACAGGCTATAGGGAATTTCTAATACTTTCATGGTTGTGGTGAGGAGTTTTGAACAAGTGTATACACTCTAGAACGGTGATGTTCAACCAGTGTGCTGCAAGAACTTTTCAAACATGCAGTACCTGACTATTCAGTTGGGAACAGTGACCTCTTTTCCCTTAGAATGTCAGTTAAAAAAATGACCAACAGCCCAATAGCAGTCAGTGTGAATGATTCAAAACTGTACTTTTGTCAGATCAGCAAAAAATATATTTTTGTGTGTGTTGTAGAATTGTAATAATTAGTTTATGTGTGCCATGAGATGAAAAAGGTTGAAAATCCTTGCTCTAGACATGGGGATCTCAGGCTCTCAGTAAAGCAAGAAAGCTAGGGAGATGAAGCAGAGTGAACATTGTAGATAATGAAGCAATTTTTAACCGGAAAATGTAGCAATTGCAAGAAAACAGAACTGATACTTCTTGGCTGCTCTTACTACGTGGGCACTTTTTCTTTTTTTTTTTTTTTACATGGAACCAGGTTAAAAAAGTTGAGTCATCAATGGTTTACCAAGCAAGAGGAAATTAGTTAGGTGTATTTATTCCCAGCACTCACTCTGCCTTGGGCCCCATGCCTTTCTCATGGTTCAAGGAGGACGGGTGTGGGTGGCTACCCTGGAGTTGCCTGGCTCACCTTCTCCTATGGGCGATGGTCTCCTTCCAGGGACTTGGCTGAGTGACCTGGAGCATGGACATTTCCTCACTGCTTCATGCAGGTGCCCAGACCTCAAGTCGGGGCACAAGGAAGTGAAGCTGATGTGTTGCTAAGTGAGGTTGACTGGAGGTCAGTGCAGCTTGGGAAGCAAGAGTACAGATCACTGGCATTTCCTTCAACCAAATGATTCTTTAGACAAAAGCTAGTCAACTGACCAGTTGGTTTGGCATCTTGTAGACTCCACCTCACCCTTCAAGTCGCCTCACTGGTCTAGAAACCTGGGGCTTTGTTTTCTAAAACTTTTTATGTATTTCCCAATATTTTTAAAGCATATTTGACACTGTATTTTCTTTTTGTGTTGTTAACTATTTTCTTAAAATTACACAAAGAATTCATGCTTATTATAGAAACATGAGAAAATTAAAAAAAAACAAAACAAAGAAGAAAGAATAAGCCCAGAGGTCATCTTTGTTAACATTTTGTATTTTTTTCTTTTTGTGTTTATTGCTTGTCAATCTTTTTTTTTTTCATTCTAAACATCTTTCCTGGTTAATAAATATACTTCTATACAGTAATTTTAAAGTCTGGCTGCATTGTGTCCTAATGTCTGGATATACACAACTTATTTTGCCATTCCCCTATTGTTGGGCAAGAAAGTGATTTCTGGTTTTTCTGTATATAATATTCTTTTGGTTACATGTCCATGCACATCTTTGAATGTTTCTCATAACTTCCTTGACTGGAATTTTGTGTCAAATTTTGTTTAAGGTTTTTTTATACCCTTTGCCAAATTGTCCTATAGGAAGGTTGTGCCAGTTTGTGAGTGACCACTCCTTAAACACCGGTTTTCAGGTGCCAATGATAATTCTGCCCACTTAGACCCAGAGAGCAACAAATTATACAAGCTTGCTTTCTTTTTCAATTGATTTACTTCTTCTTTGTGGTTTTACTTCTTATCATCCTGGATACATTAATCACTTTTCGCAAATGGAGATAATTTGTTCCCCCATACATTGAAATAATATTTTCTCAGTGCCAACCATGTGCTCAGTTTTGGGGTTCAGCATAGCAGTGACCAGGACCCAGGCTCTATCCTCAAGGACCCTGTAGCCTAATAGTATTAATTTGGACCAGAATTTCACATAAATAATAACCAACTTGGGCACAGTAATTTAAAAATCCCTCTTGATGTAGATGACCTCATTTAAATGATGCAACAACACTGATATCAGTATTACTATCTCTGTTTTATGGATGAAGACGTCAAGGCAGAAAAATGCCAGTTGAAAGCCTGCGCACTTAACACCCGGGAGAGCAGCAACTCGGAATCTCATGCTTCCTCCACTACACGCCCAAGAGAGCAGAGGGTAAAGAAGGTAATAGAGCCCTGGCCGGTTTGGTTCAGCGATTGGAGCGTTGGCCTGCGGACCAGAGTCCCGGGTTCGGTTCCTGCTAGGGACTTGTACCCCCCCCCCCAAAAAAGAGGGTAATAAGAAAGGCCTGCCTACTCAAAGTTCTTTGTCTCATTGTCTCTCTTCTCTAAAAATCCTTCATGCATTTTTTTTTTTTTTTGGGTAAACATGACCTCTTGAGATGTACCTCTTTTTAAGAGGTAAATAGTTATAAAGTCCCAAGAAAAAGAATACTCTGTAGATTTTCTCTACAGGAGGGGCTAGGGTGGAGATGGGGCTGCAGAAATTGGAGGGAAGGTGAATGCCCTCAATGCTACTGAATTGCACACTTAAAAATGATTAAAATGGTCATTTTTATGTTATGTATATTTAAAAAAATGACCAAACCTCAAGTTTTAAAAATGACCATAAACAAACAAATAAACATTGTCATCTGCCAGAAAAAAAAGAAAAGAAAAGAAATGGGAGCATAGGATTTCAGATGAACTTTACCTTATTTAACACACATAGACCCTCCCCTTCCATGAGATGTTGGGACTCTCTTATTTAATTGCTATTTAAAAAGATGTCCATTTTTTAAAAGTTGTTTGACAGTGCAAGTTCAATAAATTCATTTTTATTCTGGAAGTATAACTTTATAAATTACAATGTCATCACATGGTCCCTACATAAAGGTGTACGTGAAGTCCAGAAACAAGACAGGGGCCTCCTGATGCCCCCGCGCTGCCAGTATCAGTTCCCAGGGATAATAGGACATTCCACAGTGACGGAAACCACGCGGGAAGAACAGGATGTGCAGGGGTCATGTCAGCTTTTGGAGGTAGGGGAGTTTTTGTCTCTTAATGAACACATGTTTCCTTTTATTAGATAAGAGTTTTAAAAGGAATAGTTTTCCCCTTGGCTACTGTGAACACAGAGCTAATTTGGGGGCTGCCTGCAATCAGTGTCTATAGCTCAGACTTTATCATCCAGTTGCTCCCTAGTTTTCTCAGTCCAGACCCTGGTTCTTTTCATTGATTTTTAAATGGATCAATTGGATTTTTGGCTTTTGTAATACGCTTCTACATTTCAAAAAATTAGGTGAGAAATAAAAGGTAAGTTAATAGAAGGAAATAGGAAAACCAACCATTTGGCTGGTGGGTTGAAACAGGACATAGTCAATTACTTTACCAACAACGTATCCCAGTTTAGATACTTGCCTGGCTACGTTTTACCTGAGTCAGCTGCTTTCCTGCTACCCATGTGCAAGGGGTGTGTTCTCTCATCTGTGGCTTGCTTGGGCCTGGCCAGCTGAAAGAAGCCAGCTGGTCATCACTTTGCTTCCTGAAGTTAATATTCTTATGCAGTGCTTGGAGCGCTTCTGTTGGAGAACTGCTGCATAAACACATCTGTTCGCATACTGTCAGAAGAAAACTTCCTGGAGCCTGAGTGGGCAGGGTTACCAAAGTACCGCTATTGGAGAGCCGAAACCCCAGGACTGCAAGGCAGAGCCGAGTGTGCCCTGCAGGACCCTGAGCTGTGCAGTCTCACTCCGAGATGCCACCTTCCGGCGGCAGTGGGTGTGCCTGCATATCCCCCTGTCCCTGAGTGTAATGTAAAACTTCTGCTCATTGTCCCTGAGCATCTGCCTTGTGTGTTAGCTTGGTTGTTAGGAAGGGTTTTCTGTGTGAGATTTTGGAGTGTGATGCTTGAGGGGAATAGTGGAGATTCTTGGACAATGTTGAAAAGAAATGAGCTACTTGGGCTGAGGGCTGAGTGACAGCAGGGTCTGTCATTCGGGGTGAGGTCACTCCCCTTCTCTCTAGCCCCTCATCTATCCCTCTAGCTTCTCCACCACGCTGGGGCCAAAGTGACTGAATACACTCTAGAAGCTCATCAGGAGTCTCCTGTAACTGTACATATTTTGATTTTATGGGGGTGAAGTCTCCACAGAACCTTAGACAGTTTATATTGGGATTGAACAAATGGGGAGAATCGTATTAAAATGACCTCTTAAGTTTTGCTTCCTTCTCTCATTTACTAGTCATTTTGAAACATCAAGTGTCAGGTAAAATATAATGAAAGTTCAGTCTGTTTCTATGATTACTTTTAATATATCCTTAGGAAGAGCTGATTTTTTTTTTTTCCTTCCCCAAAGTAGACAACTTTACTGCCCAAGCATTTCTTTTGCTAAAGACTTTCTCTCTTTATTTTAGGGGCCCCAACGAGCTCTCATTACCAGTACTAGTTGACTTCACTAGCTCGGTTTCCTTGGCATTTCCATTTCTCAGAAATGCCTGAGATGGGATCTTCGTTTATCTGCAAAGTACCCTTAAGCTTTTCTTGGAACCCTCAGAAGGTCACCCAGATGCCAGCGGAGGAGCAGGCCTCCCTTCCCCACTGCTGCAGGTTGCTTACTGCCTGCGGGGTGTTCCAAGGGAACCCCAAGTCCCTCCCAGGGACAGACATATGCAAGGGCTCTGTTTCCTTCAGTATTTACCACATTAGGACTTCACTCAGTCATGAGCAGAAATGGGTAGGGTGCTACCCCCCCCCCCCCCAGTCTCTGACACGGCCTTGTGTGCACCCTTATAGCATTCCCAAGCCCTACTCTCCACAGATGTAAGACGTCTCAAAGGCCACAATTTCATTAGACACCTGTGTCCTCACTTTCCATCTCTATCCTCACGCACTCTGGCACCATGCCCTCCCCACAGGCTACTTCCTCCATGAAAATCACGTCATGCAGAATGATCAATGCCTGAGGGACACCATTAGTACCCGTCAATCAGACACTCAGAGTCTGAATCCCACCTTAGGCTCATCTGGAACCATAGCTGTGAAAGCAGCAGTATGATGCAGATACTTTAAACAACAAAAACAACAACCATACCCACAGCCAATGCTTGCTTTTGATTCGTTACTCATCAAGCCAAAATACTTAGAAGTATTTTTCCTAGATCACTTGAGATACTGTTTGAGCTATCTGCTGAGATCACAGTTAGGATATACAAATTAATTTTGGGAATGACATTTTAAGATGGACTTAAGGTAAACTGGAGAGGGGCCAGCAAAGGCAGGAAGGATGTTGAGGTGTCAGGAAAGCTTTTATATAGTGTGAAAGGAAGTGAAAAGGTTTAACTTAGAAAATAGAGGCTAGGACAATGTCTTTACATTTTAAACAGCTGGCATGTGGCCAGATGGTCTCTTGTTTTGATGATTCTGCTGCACAGACTGTAAGATTAATGAGAGGAATTTAGAGAGAGACAGATTCTAAGACCACACATGGACTAACAGGAGTGAATGCCTTGGGAAGCAGAGCTATCTACCACTCATGAGTCTAAGCTAAGAGGAGAATGTTTACATTAGAGCGCTTTAGGAGACATTTTGGAATGGGGGTGGGGGGTCAAGCCAGTAACCTAGAATATTGAAAAATAGAAGCTAAAAAAAAAATCATAAAGATTATTATCCAAGCTTAGGAAACTAAGGCCCAGAGTGGGTATTTGACTTCCCCCAGTTCACACTAATTTTTGGCAGAGAGGAGAATAGAGTCCAGATTTCTCATCCCTGGCTCAGTATACTTCCTACCACATGCCATTCTTCCCTATAAGACCCCGTGTGAATCTCAGTTTCACTGATGCTGTGTCTCGCCAAAGGGGATCAGGTGAGGGAATGGAAAAACAGGACTCGAATGATTTACTTTCCAGAAATTATTGTGAAGTAAGTTAATGCTATCAAGGATAAAGTGTCTACTTATCCTTAGATGATTTCTTCCCAACAATCAATGGAACCCTTTTATTTCTACAAATAGGTATATCTTTTTCAGAATATATTAATAGAGTTCTAAGCTATTTTCCATTTCAATTTTGTCTTTATTTGATAAGCATTTCAATGAAATTAGAAATTCATTTATTCTTTGAGCCAAATGGAATGAAACAATAATTGGCCATTGAGATGTCATATTTAATGATAAAAAGAGCAGAGCCACTCATGAAGTAAAACAAAACAAAACAAAACATTCTTTTGGACATATCCTGATAGCACATGGAACTGAAGGACATACTTTGATCCAGAGATTGTGTGGTTTCTGTATTGAATGGAGATCTTTGAGACCCCTGGGAATCAGTTCCATTTATGAGCTGAGGCCAACCGTGCTGACCCTACTCTGTGCAGCGTCAGCTTCTCCATCTGTTAAATAGGGGTGCCTCCATCACTGCCCTCTGGTACCTGCAGGCCTAGTAGGAGGATTCATGAGCCAGAGCCACAAGAATGAAAATATAAAGTACCACTATCAGACCCATCAACTTTTAGTAAAAAACCCAGGCAGTACAAGTAATCAAATGCAATATGACAGAGAAAAATGAGTAGAGAAGAAAATTTTAACTGTTTTTAATAACTGTAACTTCAAATCTATTTCATCAATCATAATATAAGGTTGTAACCCCATCCCTCACCTTTCCCTCTTTCTCCCCCTTTTCTTTTACCCATTCTCCTCATGTTTCCCCCTTCCTTCTTTCTTCTCCCTTTAACTACTCCTCATATCACAAATTTCCCCTTTCTTTTTTTCTTTCTGGCCCCATCCCGCTATCCTTTGCTCATCTAGGAATGTGAAGATGCACTTAGGCAATGTAGACATAGGGAAAGGCAAGATACCTGAGCAAGAAGCCAACCAACCTTCATTGTTTGAACTTGTATTAAATAAGTATGTTTTAGACCATCTATAAAGTGCAAAGCACTGTGCTAGACATTATAGAAGCTGCAAAAAAGTGAGCAAATCTGCACAATAGGTGTTTATAGTCTAGTGGGGGGAAGAAAAAAATAACCATAATTTGGGAAAAACTGGTTAGTGCCTTAAGAAAGGGAACATGACTTGTGGTGGGAGAAGGGAATAATCCAGCTGTATCCAATGGGTTTGTAGAGCTAAGTCCATGGAGTGGTGAGTACAGTGTCCGGCAGTTCATTCATTCATCATTCATTCAACAAACACTCGAGTGTGCTTCTATGTACCATTTATTATGCTTGGAACTGGGGATATGACAGTGGTTAATATGGTTCCACTCTTCATGGTGTTTCTGTGTAGTGTACAGACTTTAAACAAATAAACATACATATTCACATTCAAGTAATAAATAAAAAGACAGTATAGGGTCCTCAGAGATAGAAGAACATGGAAAATCTAATTTCAGTCGAGAGGGAAGCATTCACAGAGTACTCTGAGTCCTTATCGATGAACAGGAGGAGGCGCTGGCAGGGCTGGGGGCAGGAAGGAAGCAGGGAGAGTTCTCCAGGAAGCAGTAGCAGCACGAGTCAAGGTCTCAGGGCAGTTTCTTGGTACCTTGAGAAACTAAAAGTAGACCTTGGTGGTCCACACTCAGTAGAAGCAGGGAAAGTGACAATACAGAAGTTTGGGGAGTTGGCAGAAGATAGGTGGGTTTAAGTCATGATAAAGATTTGGGATTTGCCCTGGCCAGTTGGTTGGGCATCGTCCTGTGCACCAAAATGTTGCCGGTTCAATTAATGCTCAGGGCACATGACTGGGTTTCGGGCTTAATTCCCCGTAGGGGGCATGTAGGAGGCAGCTGATAGATGTTGTTTTCTTACATTGATGATTCTCTCTCTCCCCCTCTCCCTTTCTTTCTAAAAATCAATAAAATCCCCAAAAAAGATTTGGGATTTTATTCTTTAAAATTTTTTTTCTTTATTAATATTAGAAAGGGAGAGGGAGAAGGAGAGAGAGATAGAAACATCAATGAGAGTGAACATCGATTGGCTGCCTCCTCCATGCCCCCCACTGGGGATCCAGCCCACAACCTGGGCATGTGCCTGACTGGGAATTGAACCTGCAACCTCTTGGTGCATGGGTCGATGCTCAACCACTGAGCTACATTGGCTGGGCTGGGATTTTATTCTAAGTACATGTGCAAATGGTTGAAAAATGTAGGTAAGGGAGTGACAT